AAAAAAAAAAAAAAGTATCTTGTTGCATATATATAAAGATTGAACATGACTTTGAGTGGCGGTTCATTGTTGGAAATTTTAGTTTTGCATGATACAGATGACCAAATCTTTATCATGTTTTGTCCAAACCATATATGCTTAACTTTAAAGTTCTTATGATTGAGCTGTAAAATATGGAAGAGTAACTATTAATAATTCTTTTAAGTCTATATTAATCATACTTCTATGATCGATGATTCTTTCACTCGATATGGTATCGGTTCATCCATGTATCCCTTCTGTCTACTCGTACGTTATAATTAATAATACTTAATTGCATAGAGTTTTATGAGTGAATAGTACATTATTATTATTTTGTCTTACATTAATTTATTTAAATTATAAAAATAAAAATAAATAATAAATAAAATTGATGAAATTAGAGAAAGAGGATGAAGACAAAAATGTAAAGAAATGATTGTCTCCAACATGAGAATTTGAAACTCCATATTTCATAAAACATTCAAAACATGTTAGATACATCCGTTATGGTCATCCTTACATACTCGACTATCTCCAGATGTCCAGATATCTTACATTCCTACAAAATATAAGAATATAGATATCGTCCTACGGAAATCTTGAAAAAATCCTATGTAACAAACGATCCCGATAGTGCAAAGTCCCGTTTCTCAAATTTTTATAAACATTTTAATATCTTAAATATATTAAATGTTACTCCTAAATTAATAAATCATACACCTCAAAAGTTTTCTTTTTAAACATGAAAATCTTAATGTCGATTTCTTATATTAATCTAAATAATGAACTCAAAATAAAAAATCTATAAAAATTTTTAAAATTTTTTATTTAACATAAAACAAAAATAATTTTATTCATATTAGAAATAAAATACCCGAACATGTTTTTAGTACAACATGTGGCCATGTAGGGATAGATATTCGAACTCACAATCATTAATATATACACACTTTAAAATAATTAAATATTTCCTTCAGTATTTGAGCCTCATCTCACATTTGAATGAATGAACATAGAACTACAGAATGATAAAAATTACCGTTTTTACCTCTTTTTAATATATTTTATTTTAAATAATATATATATATATATATATATATATATATTTTGAGTTTAACATATATGAGAGTAAAGATTTGAATTTGTGGGTCAAAGATATATACCTTAATAAATTGAGTTATACTTAAAAGAAGTTCTAATATATAACATATATGACAATTACCGCTGAACTATGCTCGTTTTGACAGCTTACCCTTTTTTAATAAAGTAACTAAAGTCTTATTTAATTTTTCTTTTTTACGTCAACTAATGTCTTTGTTTATTTGAATTATATGTCTAGATGGATAAGTTCTCATCACCAATGTATTATTTGTTATTTTTTGAAATTACAATAAATTATTAATTTTTTTAGTACACAACAAATTCTTATACGAGAAGTTAGGTCCTTTCTAAGTAAGCCTTTAGTAAATATTAATTAAATATATATAAACAATAAATATGAGAATGAGATATTGAACTTCTACTAAGGAGTAAGACGTCTTAGCTACTAAGACATTGTCATGTTGACTTAAAAAGTTGATGTTCTATAAAAAAAACCGAAATAATAAAAAAATAACGTGATATATTAAAAAATTAAGAATAAATTTTAAAAATAAAATATTAAGAATAAATTTTAAAAATAACTCTTATTATTTAACATCAGTCTGAGCAAATACTCAATATAAGGTCGTGGATTTAAATTTTAATGAAGTTAAAAAAAAAACAGACACTTATAATTTAATGTACTGGCAACAAAAAAAGATCACTATTATTTCAAATTATTTCAAATTATTTTATTAGTTAATTGTTAACACAAAAAGAACTTAAAATAACATACAAATTTCTAAAATACATGGATTTACCATATATACTAAAATAGGTCCAAATTCAAAGTTAATAGAGGAATGAATTATTCTTCAAAAACTGCAAAAATAAAATCAGATAAAAGTTACTCAAGTAAACTTTTTTCTTTTTTCAGAAAAAAAAATTGCTATATGAATTGCCCAAAGATTAACTAAAAATTGATTTTTTTACTCATAAATTTAATTAAAGGATGTCAATCAACTTTAAAATATTATCTTCCTAAATTAAACTACTAACATGAATAAGATTCCAATTTAATATTTTTCCATTAATTGAGTTTCATTTTTTCTAAAGATTTGTGGTGTTGTGGGACTTATTATGATTGAAACTAAGGCTATTTTTGTAAATTTAAATTGTAAGCAAGCAATATTATTGTATATTATATTATTAACAGACTATTTAAATATAATTTAACTATTAAGTAATCCAAATTACTGGGTTCATGAACTTTTGTTAGGTATGCATTAGTTGGAGTTGTTAGTGAGTTTAATAGAAATTCTATACCAATAATTCTAAAGTTATAATCTTCAATACATTAAATATATATCGTCAATTTAAAGATAGTTCAAGTGGATAAGACACTATTACCATTTCAAAGGTTGGTAGTTCGATCTCCTACCTCCGCGATTATTTTCGTACTCATTTTCTCTTAAATATAACAATTTGAATGAATAGATGAAGAATGTTAAAAGCATTCTAGAATTGAAGATGACATTAGAAATATCATGAACTAAATTATAAAATTACATACAAATTCTTACAATTTTTTTACATATGTTTGGAAATTTGATATTAGGTATAGACACTCTTTGATGTTTAATTTTGTATTTAAATTTGATTTTTTTGTTCATGGATTAAAGCGAGTGACTTTGAAAAACAGAAATATCTTTACTTTAGAAGTAGGCACTAAATAAGCGCTTTTTGGAACCAAACATAAAAATTTTAACAGAGTTAAAAACACCTTTTAAAAGAAAAAGTGATTTCAAATTCACCCTAACCATTTTTTTAAAATTAATTTTGGGTGTTTCATTTGTTGAAATTTATATGCTTTATGTTCAAAATTTAAATCTAGACTTGAATTCACAACTAAATAAAAATGGACTCATGAAAAAAAAAAAAGAATTTCCACGCAAAATTTTTAAAAAACATGATTGAGTTGAGACCATTCAAGTGCATTTAGTCTGTATATTTAAATATTCTTTTTGTCCTTTTTTACCTCCAAAATGTATTATCTTGACCTCTTTATTTAAAAATGACGATTTTGACCAATTTATTTCCATTGTCATCTTATTTCTTTCCATAATAATTTTAACATGATTATTTACTCATTAAAATTTTTGAAATTAACTATAAATTTGTATTAAATGATTTCCATTGTATATAAAATTTTGTTTTAAAAGAACAAGGACCAAGATGAATATTTTGATAGTACAAGTATTAAAATGACCAAAAATTAAAAATGTAGGAACCAAAATCAGCACACGAACTTTTGATCAGTGATATATACCTAACCAATGAAGCTAGACTCAGATTAACGGGTCAAAATGGTGTTTAAACCTAGTTTGGAAACATTGATTTGAAAGATTTAATAGTAGAAAACAAGTGTTTCATATTTTCACTAGTGTCCACTTAATTCAAACAGTGTTTTAAAAATAATTCTATCCCACCGATAAGGTTCCCATTTTATTTCTTCATTTTTTAGGAAGAAAAATAGAATTGCATTATAAATTAAAAAAAATGATAAAATTATATATTTATTTATGTTTTGAAATAAATTGAAAATAAAAAGAAACAATCTAAAGTTTCTATATAATTTAAAAAAGAATATATAAGTAGTCGCAAATGCATAAAATTACAAAAAGGGGTTACAGAAGAAAATGGATTTGATTTTGTGAATCTAAAACCAAGAAATTTGATTTTTTTTTCCTAGAATTGTATACAATCCCAGCCCCCTAAGAACTTATTATTTAATTTCGAGATTTCTTGAAGGGCCCCCACTCAAAATAACATTAAATATATATTTATTTTAAAAAGTAAAAAAATGTGAGGATTTTGACGGCTTTAATCTTTTCTTCGTCTTTATCAAAGGAAAAAAAAAAGCAAAAAGAGAAAAAAAAATCTTCTTCGTCTGCTCAAAAACCCCTGTGGAAGCGCTGTGAGAGAATAGAGTTTCTTCCCATCACAATAAAACCTTATCTCTCCATTTCTAAGCGGCTCCCCCCACAATTTCCTGTCAAACGCAGGACGTTGTGGATAAAAATCCTTCCATTTTTCTCCATTTAAGGTTCTCGTTTCGGTTTCTTGTGGTTCAGCGTCGATGGAGTCGAAGGAGTTTGCTCAAGCATCGTCGCTGCAGAACTCCATATCCTCAGGTTCTTCTTCGACTTCTTCGTCGTCCTATTCCTCTTCTTCCGTTGATTCCCCTGTCGATACGCCGTCCATCGATAACCCGGCGGGGGAGGTTGGGGAAATTGAAACCGGCCAAGGTGGCGATGAGGGTGGGAGTGACGGCGGTGGGTCGGAAACTGAAGGGTTTTTGAGTGGGGAGGAGGAATTTGAATCTGCTGTAGATAGACCGATTGTGGGGTATGCTGAGGAAGAAACCCTCGGGAAATCCGCCCAAGGGGGAGATAGTGGTAGTCCTTTTGTGAGTTTTTCGGAATTTTCGACTCCGGTTAGTGTTAGGCCAATTGCGAAGGTTTCAGTTGATAGTGACGTTGAGGAGGAGGAGGAGGATGTTTCTGGAGGTTCCGGAGTTGGCCTCCAGATAGAGGAAAGTGATAATAATAAAGTGGTTGGAGGAGACGATTTTCCTGAGAGTAAGAAGGGGAATGAAGTTGAGAATCCAGTGGAAAAGGAGGAGGATTCGGGCAACCTGGTGAACGAAGAAACAAATGAGTTGTCGGGGAACCCAATAGATGGTAATGTGCCTGAAAGTTCAGTCGCTGAGGCTGTTGGCTCTGTGCCTGAGGAAGAACTCAATGGTGGGAAGCAGGTGCCAGAAGGGGTTCAATGGAATGATGTGATAGTGGAACAGCAGGAAAATGAGGCTTCAGATGGAGGGCAAGAAGCAGAATTGAGTAAAGACAGTCTCCCGGCTGAGATGCAGGCAGATGAAGGGATTGAATTGAATGACAAGGTGGCTGCTAAAGATGTCGAACAATTAAAAGAGCTGGAAACTGGTGCTTCTCTTGACAACAAAGCTGAGTTGGGTGACCAAGCGAGTTCTAAGGTTTTAGAACTAGCAGATGAGAAACAAGAAGTGGAAAGGCAGGCCGATGGGGAGATTGAATTGAATGAAAAGGTGTCTGCTGAAGATGGAGAGCAATTGAAGGAATTGGAAACTGGTTCACCAGTTGAGGACAAAGCCGTTCTGGATGATAATGAAAACTTTAAGGTTTTAGAACCAGCGGATGGAGGACAAGAAGTAGAAATGGAGAAAGGAAGTCCGGTGGCTGAGAAGGAAGCAGATGGGGGGACTAAATTTAATGACAAGATGAATGCTGAAGATGGAGAACAGCTAGAGAAATTGGAAATTGGTTCTTCTGTTGTCAACAAAGCTGACCTGGATGATCAAGCAAACTCCAAGGTTTCAGAACTAGCAGATGAATTTTCTAGTGGATGTTTAGATGACAAAACCTTGCATGAAAGTTCTCTGGTATCAGGGACAGATGCTGTTGGTAATCTGGAGGAAATAAAGGACGTGGGAAATAGGGTGTCTGTAGATTTGGTACGTGAAGGTACCAAATTGGATAATGGGTTTGATAATGTTGGGCATGAGGCGGACGAGTTTGTTGACCATAATTCTGTGGTTTCAAACTCTGAGATTGACAATAAAGAGCCGGAAATCAGTATTCCAGTTGCAACAGAAGAAGCAGTGCTTCATGGAGACAGAGGATTTGCTGCTACTGATATTGCAAATCATGAAAAACTTGCGGCTAAGAATGTGGAGGATCAGCAGCCTGATGATGGATTGAGAGAAGCTGTGAGTCTTCTTGATTCTCCACATGAGGCAGGTAATGAAAAAGACTCTAAAGACGATTCTAAAATAAGAGAGATTGTGGCTGGTGAAGTTGAATCTGAATCATCTCAGGGTGCTACGTCTTTGGTTAAAGAAACCATTCCGGATAGTGCTACAGTGGAAGATAGCAAAATTTCTGCTACTCCCAAGATAATTGAACCAGTTTTGAATGAAGTAGATGGAGAAAAGTATCATTCAGATGAAGAGGGTGATGGTGAAGGTTCTGTTACGGATGGAGAGACTGAAGGTGAGATCTTTGGCAGTTCTGAAGCCGCTAGACAATTCTTGCAGGAATTGGAAAGAGCCTCGGGAGCTGGTTCACATTCAGGTGCAGAGAGTTCTATTGATCATTCACACAGAATAGATGGCCAGATTGTCACGGACTCAGATGAAGCAGACACGGAGGATGAAGGCGAAGGAAAGGAGATGTTTGATTCTGCTGCTTTGGCAGCACTTCTGAAAGCAGCTAGAGATGCTGGCTCAGATGGTGGTCCTATCACCGTGACATCTCAGGATGGCTCTCGGCTTTTCTCCATAGAACGTCCTGCTGGTCCCGCTGGTCTTGGATCCTCGCTCACATCTGGAAAAAATGCTTCCCGCCCAAGTCGGCCTCTCTCTTTTGCCTCATCAAATCCTAGAGTGGGGGATGATTCTGAAAATAGATTGAGCGAAGAGGAGAAAAATAAACTTCAGAAGTTACAGCAGATAAGAGTGAATTTTTTAAGGCTTGTTCAGAGACTAGGTGTTTCTCCGGATGATTCATTAGTAGCACAGGTTCTATATCGTTTTGGGCTTGTAGCTGGTAGGGCTACTGGTCAGCTATTTAGCTTCGATAATGCAAAGACTACTGCTATTCAGCTTGAAGCGGAAGGAAAAGAAGATTTAGACTTCTCATTGAACATACTGGTTATTGGGAAAACAGGTGTAGGAAAGAGTGCTACAATAAATTCAATTTTTGGGGAAGATAAGACTCCAATCAATGCATTTGGGCCTGGTACAACCACGGTGAAAGAAATTGTTGGGACAATAGAAGGTGTAAAGATTAGGGTTTTTGATTCTCCAGGTCTTAGATCTTCTTCATCTGAACGTAGCATTAACCACAAAATTTTATCCTCAATTAAGAATGTAATGAAAAAATCCCCTCCTGATATTGTTCTTTATGTGGACCGGCTGGATAACCAAACCAGAGATCTCAATGATCTGCTGTTGTTAAGATCAATATCCAGCTCTCTTGGTTCTTCCATCTGGAAAAATGCCATTATCACTCTGACTCATGGTGCCTCTGCTCCACCTGATGGTCCATCTGGTGTCCCTTTGGGTTATGAGGTGTTTGTTGCTCAACGATCTCATGTTCTTCAGCAAACTGTTGCTCAGGCTGTTGGTGATCTGCGTATTCTGAATCCAACTTTAATGAACCCAGTTTCGCTTGTTGAGAACCACCCCTCCTGTAGAAAGAATAGAGATGGCCAGAAAGTGCTTCCTAATGGTCAAAGTTGGAGGCCCCAGTTATTACTTCTATGTTTCTCTATTAAAATTCTAGCTGAAGTGGGAAGTCTCTCAAAAGCTCCAGAGACATTTGACCACAGGAAGCTTTTTGGCCTCCGTGCCCGTTCACCTCCTCTTCCATATTTATTGTCTGGTTTGTTGCAATCCCGTGCACACCCGAAACTGTCATCAGATCAAGCTGGTGATAATGGAGATTCTGATATTGATTTGGCTGACTTGTCTGATTCTGATCAAGAAGAGGAGGAGGATGAGTATGATCAGCTCCCACCTTTCAAGCCTCTCAGAAAATCTCAGATTGCTAAGCTTAGCAAAGAGCAAAGGAGGGCATACTTTGAGGAATATGATTATCGGGTGAAGCTGCTTCAGAAGAAGCAGTGGAAAGAGGAATTAAAAAGGATGAGGGATATCAAGAAGAAGGGTCAACTTCCTGCAGATGATTATGGCTACATGGGGGAAGATGATCAGGAAAATGGCACTCCAGCTGCTGTGCAGGTTCCACTACCTGACATGGCCCTTCCTCCTTCTTTTGATGGTGATAATCCAGCTTACCAATTTCGATTCTTGGAGCCAACGTCTCAGTTTCTGGCGAGGCCAGTCTTGGACACCCACGGTTGGGACCATGACTGTGGGTATGATGGTGTGAACCTTGAACACAGTATGGCCATTGTTAGTCGGTTTCCTGCTGCTGTTGCTGTTCAAATTACAAAGGACAAAAAAGAGTTCAATATCCACTTGGATTCCTCGGTTTCTGCCAAGCATGGAGAAAATGGTTCTACTATGGCAGGTTTTGACATCCAAAATATTGGAAGGCAACTTGCCTACATCCTTAGAGGAGAGACGAAATTCAAAAATTTCAGAAAGAACAAAACAGCTGCTGGGATATCAGTGACATTCCTGGGAGAGAATGTGTGCCCGGGGTTCAAAGTTGAGGATCAGATTACTCTTGGGAAGCGTGTTGTACTGGTAGGTAGCACTGGCACCGTGCGATCTCAGGGCGATTCTGCATTCGGGGCCAATCTGGAAATGCGGCTAAGGGAGGCTGACTTTCCAATCGGACAGGATCAATCATCTCTTGGTCTATCTCTTGTAAAATGGAGAGGAGACATGGCCTTGGGGGCGAACTTTCAGTCGCAGTTTTCCATTGGACGAAGTTACAAAATGGCGGTACGTGCAGGGATCAACAACAAACTAAGTGGACAGATTTCTGTCAGAACAAGCAGTTCTGACCAACTTCAGATTGCTCTCCTGGCTATTCTTCCGGTTGCCAGGGCTATTTACAACAGCCTACGTCCTGGAGTTGCAGAAAATTACTCAACCTATTAGGTTATGTTTCATCTTTATATTTCTTTCTGTTTACTTTTCGGCATTGCACTGTAGGTCATAAATTGAGCACCTTCTGTTTTATTATTTTTCCTGAATAAGGCAGATTCTATTGATCTATAAATTTGAATCTTTGCTTTCATGTTATTAAATTCACTAAATTATTATCCGAATTCAGGTTCTTTAGATGGTTGAGATTGATTATTGCTTTACTTGTCAATGGAATGTTGATTCATAACCCCTTGAGATAGCTTATAAGTTGATGGATTTTAACATGCTTTAGTAGTTCTGGAATATTGACAACTGAAGAACCTTCAACTAGGGCCCACTTTTAGTGACTCTTGAAGTTCAAAAGAAGCTTACACCGTCTGTTATGTGACAGGATTTGAAGTCAAAGACTCCATTCTATTAATGGCAAACTTAAGCTTTAGGGTGTAGCGGCGGTGATTTAGGTATATCTCTATAGATTGTTATTTGTAAAGTTGTAAACCCAATACCTTGCGATATCATGCCCTTTTGTTGTTCAAGAATACATTTATTGTTTCTTTTTTGTTCCTTTGTCTTTGCTAATTAGCATTCGGAGACCCAATCTTTACATTATGGTCCTGGCTCACCCCACCCACCAACTCCTATTGAGAATTCGCCCACCTTAAGACCAACTCTAGGAGACAACAAGGTCTCAAATTATTAAGTTTTTCATTTAGGTGCTTGAACCCGGAATCTTTGAGGATATTTCCAAACATCTCAAACCCTTACCACCAAAGACCATTCCTTGGAGGCCTTGGTAAGGTATTTAGACTTGTTTTTTTCTAATGCCCATAAGAAAGATTGAAAACGAAAACGAGTATAGGTTCTCTCATAATCAGGACGTAAAAGTTTATTATTAGTTAAATCAACCGTAAGAGTGCCCTCATCAAATTTAAACCTATCAGTCTAAAGGCTTGATAATGAGAAATGATTGTGATGAGAGATTTAGAACAATGCTGAATTTGGACTCTAAAGGGGACACATATGTTTTCATGGCAAGTTACATCACAGATTCACAGCATATACAAGAAACCAAAAAAGTGTTTTATGCTAGCTGAGAAAGATGAAAAGCATGCCTACTTTTTCTTCTTTCTTGTTGGTTTTGTGAATATATTGCACCCATAAGTCACAATCCATATTCAACTTTGAGATATTGCTTGCTCTTGTAGTACATGTTGCCCGAAGCTCGTACCTGCTCTAAATCCGTATTCTATTTTCTCTCTCTTTCTTTATGCATTAATCTCTTTTAGTTGTCCATATTTTAATGGTGGTAAGTAGGAGATTTCAGTCCACACCTAAGTTTTATCCCCGCTCCAATTAACAAACATGGTCATTTGTTTCTGTAAGCATTTAAATACCTATGGGAATCTGATATGATTTATTGTGTTTGTTTTTGCAGGAATGGTAGGATAATAGGGATATTCAATGAAGCTTTTATTCCTTCATCAATTCACTGAGTTTTTTAGATTTCTACAATGAGGCCTCTTATTATGAATGACATTTTTGTTTTCTATTTCCCTTTTTGATATACTTTCATCCATATATTCTCTCTCTATATTAGCTTTATATTTGAAAATGGTTAGCATGAAATTAATGTGTTAATTAAATTAATTAATAAGAACTATATACTTGTGTAACATGTAACACAAGAACAAGGTACTTGCCATGCCATTTAGTCGACTTTTACAATTTCAGTTAGCTCAATGAATGAATTATTGTATTTTTTTCCCTTTAGCTCTCCAACTTTAAAAGTTTCAATTATATTTTTGAAACTCCGACCATATTTTTATTTAGTTCATGCTATTAACAACATTAGTAAAAGATCTCATCATTGCTGTTAAGTTTCAATTTAATCACTTATTGTTTGATAATGAGTAAGAAATATTCTTCATTTTGCATGTCTTTTTGTTTGTTTGTTTTTTTTTTAACACAATATTTGTGAGTGTTTGTTAGTTAGCTTAATTGTCTAATATAATAACGTTTAAATACTATTTTAGTCTCTTACTTTTTTTTGCTTCAGTTTATTTTAGTCGTTATTTTGGTCTTTCGTAAATTTATAAAGTGAAAATTTTGGTTATTTTAAAAAAAATTTTAGCACAAATTTTTTACAATATATAATCTCTTTACTCTAAAAATATTACTTTATTTTAAGAAATTTATTAATGTAATATTGTGCTTAAATTGCGATCTAAAAAAATTTTAAAATTTTTTAAAAATTGTCACTTTTTGAAATAGGATTAAAACAGAAGTATTTAAATCTAAGGTTAATTTAGTCTAAATTTATACAACGGGTATATATCATTAATTATCTAAAATTTAAAAAGGTAATTGAAAATTTTCTAAATTCATAATTAAATATTTAATATTTAAGTGCGCATTTACAAATTACAAGAAAAAAAAAGAACAAAAAGAAAAAAGAGGCAATTTGCGTCAAAAAGGTCTACAATGGGGGGAAATTTGAAATTTCGACCCCTCCCATAATTCACTAACCCTCCCATAATTCACTAACCTAATCTATGACCCCACTCTTCCTTATTTATTAATAATTTCATAATTTTTAAATGTAAAATTACCGTAGTACCCTCAGGTTTCAAAATCAACATCTCCCTCCACAAATCTCTTTACAAATCTTTATTCCCTACTCAAATAGTAAATTAAAAGTTTAATATGGAAAAAATAAAAAAAAACGTACATAATTACATAATTTAAGCGAATTTAATTACAAAAAAGTCAAGATTACAAAAAATTTGGGACAATATTGCATTAAATGCTCAAGAGGGCTAAGAGGAGAGAAAAAGAGAGAAAATGCAAAAAAAAAAAAATCTGGAAATTGGGATCTCGGACCGGGATGGGAGGATCCCGGTCCG